GGGCACCAAAAGTGAGGGTGACGTTTCCGGCTGACAAGCTGTAGGAGCAGGATTTTATTGTCAACCTGAGGATGACAAGGAAGAGCCATATCATACAGGTGCTGGGAACATAGATATTTTCATACCCTGCATATTGCTAGAGGAAGGTGAAACCTGCTTCCAACAGCAGGCTGATTATTTCCCATGGAGTCCCATGTGATGTCTTTAGTGTTATTACTCCAAAATTCACTATTAACAGAGACAGAGGAACAGAGAAAAATGCTTATTTTTTCACCACAGGCAGATGACAGTTCTGGTCCTGCTTTGATCTACATGTTGGGCTTCGTTTGGCTCTCACTTTCACTAGCCTGAATCATAAGTGACTAGAAGATACCCAGTGGAGTATGAGGTCCATGGAATCTGAGTTACCACACTATTAACAAATGCCATAGAAGTACTACTGTAACGCTGATGGTGTGGCTTTAAACTTACTTATACTTATTATCCCATAATTGCAGCAGCATTCGACAGGTGAATTCTGCTGGTTCTTGTCACCTAGTGAAATAGGAGCAGCACCTTATCAAATAAGATATTTTAAGCAGGGCTATCATAAGTGAAGCAAGCGGCTGCCCAAGTAAAAAAAAGCAAATTTGCAAATGCTATTTTCTCCAAACAATAATTGTTTTCAGTTCAGATTTGCAGAAATCACTCCTACTTAACCAATAATCTCACTAAAGATGCCATAAACTCATTTAACCAAAAAAAAACCCCTGTATGTGCTGAAAGGAGGGGTGCAGCTTGCAGCCACTGACATCTTGGAGGTCTGTGCGGTGAACACTGTGGGGCTACGCAAACTCAGCACCTGTGAGTTGCTCTGCACAATCCATAACCCTAGGAAGAAAAGCATCTTCAGGAAGATGTGGGGAACAAAGATAGGATTTTGCTTCAGCTACAGAGGGAGCCTTACTATCAGAACCGAATACCAAGGTTGAAACAAGCCAGTAGTCATTACAGTTTCAAAGATGAATGTTTTGGGGGTTTTTTTAAACAATTTGAAATACCAGGCAGTCAGAGGCAGAGAACTCAAGTCCTGCTCTGGCTTCGTGTAAGTGCATGAGATACGAACAGCTTGTTCTACAGAATTGATCAGTCAGTCTTGTCTAAAGCATCTTTATGCTCTGGGAGTGTTTGGCTGTCCTCTGTTGCCAAGAGGAGGTCTAGCACAGGCCTAGTTACACAAACATTAATTTCTCCAAGAAATATACTTACGGCAATGCACTTGGAGAAAAGCCGCAAGTATTAAAAACCAGCTCCTAAAAAGAAATCCTTATTATCTCAATATGGGTGCAAGACTAGTGAATCTAAAGGCCCATATGAAACCAATTTAATGCAATTTCGTAGCCATATATAATTGGGGTGTGTGTATGTGTGTATAATTGGTTTCAAATGCAGGTCACAATGGACTGACTGAAGCTTCTGGCTCTTTGTCAGTCCAGTGTATTCCACCACTGTTTGAACAACAGTTTTCTATTTAGAGGTAACTGGTAACCATCCTGCCTTTTTTGCATTGAAAGAATGAAACCCACTACCCTGTATCAAGGAAAAGATTAATATCTGATTTGAAGAAAAGACTTCACGTGTGCTTTGTTTATGACTGGCAGTGATTTTAAGCCACATGTTTTTTTTAATGGTCTGGTAACTTTTACTTTCCTCCTTTTCAATCATTTCTGGGGGGAAGGTGAAGAAGGAAAATTTCCTCTGCTAAAAATGCCAGTCTGTGTGTGAAAAGGATACTCATGGAGAACATAAGAATCACTAGTTTCCTATGCTAGTTGCTTACACCTTTATGAAGGGGAAGTGAGTATTTCTTTAAAAACAAATCTCTACTGATGCTGAAGTTCACAAACTCTAGTACCACATTTTATTGCAGTACACCTCAATGTAGTAACACCCTGGAAGGTTCCAAGAGCTGGCAAAGGAGCCCTGCACAACATCTTCACAAACAGTACCTGTGCAACTCCAGTACAAGATTCTTTGTCAGAGTCCTGGTTTCAGGAGGGAAGATTTGCATTAAAGCCAAAGTCAAGCAGAAGCTGACTTTGATGATGATGAAGATGGCTCCTGTATACACTTCCCTTGTGTGGGCAGAGCTTGAATTACCTGGCTGAGTCAGAAAAGTGATGGTGCCCAAACCTGCACCACTGACTATTTCAGCAGTAACCTCTTTGAATCCAGCTTTACAATGGCCTGTATGTGAACCTAGTAACCTCACTCATCTGTCTGACAAAGCAAAGACAAAACACCTCCTGTTCCTATGCAGCATATTTTGACACAGGATAAGTACTGACAAAGTGGAGTATTATTATTAATTTTTTGTTTGCATGTGAAAAGTTCAAGCAACTTTTGAGCTTTTCAAACTGGGCCATGAAATGTTGCACAATGAACAACAGCAAGCCAAAAAATTCAGGTGAGGAAAGGAAGAGACTTATGATTTTTAGCAGTGCTTACAGATCGCCTTCAGAGAACAAACATGGCAAAAACTCACAAGGAAAAGAAACAGTACATGGAAAAATATAATTGTTACAGGGAACAATGCATACATTAAAATGCTCTATGTTTGTATGCAAACCTCGCTATAGAAACTGTAAAGCTTTCTGGAGACTTTCAAGTAGTAACACATATATGGGACAGGCATTATTACAGCTACCTTACAGATAGAAACATCAAGGTTACCACCAACGTTAAGGGACTGGCCCATGAGTCACCTATCACCCATTAGTGACAGGACTGGGACTACAATCCTGCTCTTCTCACCCCTGTGGGCTTCTCACTCATGTTGTCATACAGCAGCCACATGACTGTTTACAAAATGACATGCCTGTTTAACAGAAGGACTATGTTGAACATTAGGAAAAACTTTCAAGAATACCTTAAAATGCATAAAATTAAAAAAACCAAAACATATAAAGAAAACACAGAACATTTCTCTGTGCAACTAAGACACTACAGAGGGTTAAATTCAAATGTATCATCTGTACATCCTAAATCTGCATCTCTTCTGTTAGCGGAACAGTGTATTTAAATACAGAATATGTTGTGGGATCAGCTGAGGAGATATTTTGGCAAATATCCTTTCATGTGTGTCAGCAGGTATGTTCATGAAATGAAGGCGGCCCCTGGAAACCTATGTCCTTTAGAACAGACCTGTCACATCATCTGCAAGGCATCACAGGAGTATCCTGTACTGGACACAAGCCTGCTGGGACACTGCATGTTCTCCCAGAATAGAGCAGCATTTATTTTTAAATAAGGAGCTGGGTTTCCCCAGCCCTTGCAAAAGAATGCAAAGAGATGCCTTACAGCATACCTTTAAAAAACTGTGGTGAGGAAGCAAACAATCAAATTTTAACTTTCAGCTAGGATATAAACCCTTTATGTCGCATCACTTAAGAAACACAAACAAAGGATATAAAGTTACCATTAAGTGCAGTGGTATTTTAGTTGGTCCTTTGGCAGAGATTTTCTCCCACAGACCCCTTCGCACGTACCGGACAGTAGTGCCTGCGATCTGAAACTCACCAGGAAGCTCAATTTTCCAGTCGCTGTTAATGGATCTCTTACTGGAATCTTTTAAAGCTGGAACAGATCAAACACCATGGAATGAAATGTAAGTAAATTTGTAATTACAGTATAGACTATTGAGCTTCTGTCTCAGCCCACCTGAAGTACAAGATGCAGTAGCCTTGTAATGGATGGGAGTTTAAAAGATTAAAAGAAAAAAAATTATAATTTTAGCTGACTCATCATAATGTTTCTAACTTGGGCATATTCTGTTTTTCAGTTGATGAAGGCATTTCTAATTATATTAACATTGGTATTAAGTAACAATAATGTCAAATAAACTGCTCTTGCTGAGGTTTTACTACCTAAAATTATTAAGTTCTGCTTTCTGCATAAGCAACATTCTCCAGTTTCAAAACTTCGAGGCATTCTGTGTGCCATTCCACTGCCAGAAAATTTAATGGGAAGAAAATAGAGTGTGCAGAAGGAGTTACAAAGGAAATAAAAGGAAGAAAAGATAACTACCCACTGTCCTTGAAAAAATGCTACTAATTTAGGACTAAATGGTAGAACTCTTCCACAGTTTGACCTACTTCAGGAGCACGTCCAAAACCCACAGATACTCATGGCATATTGCTGTCATGCATACAGCTCTGCTTTTGCAAAGGAAAACTTGTACAACTGAAATTATTTTCTTTGATTTTCAGTGCAGAGAGATTTAATTTGGATTTAAAAGTAATATTAAAATACTACAGCATTGTGCTAACAAGCAAGAACTACAAAGTAGAAGTGACTGGCTAAGAAAGTGCAAACTTACTAGCCCATTTTCCTTATCCAAGCTGAGCAGAGTGCAGATTGCAAACAGAGAGCATAATTAGAGAACAATCAGTTAGAGCCATAATTCTTCCTGGAATAATCTAAATATTACTTGCCAAAGGTTACATGGGCAACATGTAGGCACGTATGTAAAATGACCATACCTGGAATATCTAGTATATTGGAAATTAACACTTTGATCACTTTAAGGATTATTCTCAAATGTAACTATTTAGATTTTAATCTTAGAAAGAAGGATAGTGCCATAAATTTGGACACGTTAGAAAACTGGCAGATACGATGTAAGAATCTAATATCACAGAGTAGCTGCTTTAGTATGATCTGAAGATACTTCTGGTAAAACACTTACATACTTGCATTGTTATATTCTTACAGCTATTAAAACTGGTACTTGGGGTGAAACAGTATGAGAGCAACGGTGGCTGTAAACTGAAGTCTGGTTTGCAAGGCAAGATCTGTATATTTTTATGTAGACTGCCAATCCTGAGACTGACTAAAGTCTGGCAGCAGTTGGGTTCAGAGATTCTCATTCAGACAGTATATAAGGAAACCTATTCTGATCTTCAAGCCTTAAATTCATAGATCATTTATCTATAAACTTTCTTTCCAAATGTAGCAAGACAACTCTGCTTTTCTTCTTTTCAGTTTCCAAGCAGAACCAGCTTTTGAAACTGAATTTTCCTAAACTTTCCTTGAGAAAAAGATCAATCAAATCTCTGTTTTGATACACACATGAAGATTTGCAAGTGCAAAATAAAACTGTTCCTGAGTTTGTGTGTGCTCCATAATGCAAACATCGAACAAGTTCACACTTAGCTGTCATAGTTGTAAAAAGAAGTCAAGTTCCAAAGCCGAGACTGGTCAGTGAACAGAATGTGAACTTGGCAGATGAGCTTAATACCCCCTTCTGCTCAAGCCTGGAGGGCAGAATATTCCAACCTGCAAGCACTAGCTACAGGCATAATTTATAATGGCCCTGCAGTTTTTCTAAATTACTCCAGAGGCTTTTTTGCCAGTTAAAAAAACGGACAGGTGTTATAAAGCTCCAGCATCAGAAATAAGCAGAGCTTATGGTCAGGATACTTCCTGATGCCTCCTTTGCTCTCAAAAGGCAGAAGCAGGCAAGATACGATCTACCCCTGGGTTTGATGGAAACCAGGACACAAAAAAAAATAAATATCAGCATGCAAGGAACAGCCTGCCACAGCCACCTTCCTTTCAGAGTCAGGAAGTCCTGTAAGATGAACATTGAGAAGGAAAGATACTTGGAGTAACATGTCCTTTCTTTCAGCATAACCTATCAGGATCACTGATCTCCTTCAAACACTGAAAGATAACCCAGGCCATAAGGACATCACATTACTGTTGATTTGTCAGCACAAGTTGATTTAGGGGTTTATGTGTTTTCTACATTAGAACGGAAGCAAAGTTATTCAGATGTCTGTGTGATGCATTGAGGGAAGAGAAAATTGGCAGACTCTGTTCTAACAGAGAGGAAGTCCCAGGCCCCTTTCTGGAGAAGCATGCACCATGATCAAATTTGCCCTGACATCAGATGGACAGAATAGCCCGTGTGTTACTGGGATTCCTTAGTTCAAGGTTAACTGTGTCTTTTGGCTAAGCCTTTAACGAGATGTTTTCTTAACCTCCAGCACTTCGTGACTATTTTATTCTCTTCCAGTAAAAAAGACAACTTTGGCTTTCACTTAACTGAGTGTGTTGCAAGAAGGTAAGAGGAGCCGATTTAAAGTCTTTTTAAGTCAACAGGAAAATCTCCCATTGTCTTCTCTTTGGATCAAGTCCCCACAGTCAGCAAACCCTTTGAGGAATGCTTAGGCTATACATCACTGCCTAATACACTTAGGAGACAAGGAATTGGACTTCTTGTCAACTGTACAACGCAGCTGACTTACCAGTTGGGTCTAATTTACTGGGGGAGTGTCTGTAGCGATACTGGGCTATTCTGCATAGACTTTCCTTTTATTCTAGTTGGCAATGTCTAACACCTTTTCTATAGCTATTACAATGAAGGTTCCCTCAAGAAGTGACAGGCCAGCTCATTCCTTCCTCAAATGAGGTTTAAGAAGAAGGAAATCCCTGTTAGATTCCACTTTAGGGGGTTTCCTGAAAAACTGTTCTGTTTGGACAGGACAAGTGCCTGGCTCCACAGATCCCAGAGGGTCTGCTGAAGGTAAGAGGAGATACCTGAAGTGATTCCAGCACAGGGCACCATCTCACAGTGGAAATCTACTTTTAGACTATTCCACATACAGTGCACAGACATGGTCCCAAGCACCTGGGAACCTCTCTGCTGTTAAAATGGTCCCTAGCATACCTTATGGCCCAGGTCAACTTGAATTCTCCCAAAAAACTCCCAGCATGGCTCAGGATCCAGGACTTTCCAGGGTCCTTTTCCCAATAAGCAGTACACAGGCCCCTGCTGAGAGCCCATACACAAGATGCTCCATGACCACTGGCCTCAGTGCCCAGGAATATTTCAGGGCACATTCAATTTACCACCTGAGCATCATTTGTGGTGTCTAACCTCTGGGGAAGTCTGGAGCAGGTGGACGTTGCAATGTCCTCTGCAGCTGTGTGTCCCTTTCTGAGGATCTGCATCCTGGGGAGTTACTGGAGAAAGGTGGAACATCCTTCTGTCCAGCTGCACACAACCTTCCTGACAGCTCTCATGGTCTCATTAGAAGCTCCAAAATCAGGGTGAAAGGAAACTGCAGGTATGGTTTCCCCAGGAGGAGTGGGATGTATGTTGGGGAATGTTTTTTTTCTGAGGAAAGTTCTCTTTGGCAGACTAGGGGTATTTGCGTGCCACACCAATATAACTCTGTCTGCAGCTTCCTGCTTTGTTCCTTGATTCACAAAGTACCTTCTGCAAACTTCAGACAGAATTCTGAAGCAGTATTGCTTTCCTCTGCCAAAACCTAGTGGCTTCCAGGAAGATCAAAGCAGCCATCACACTGGCCTTGAGGAGCCATGAACATGACTAATCAAAGCTGTGGATGAGATAAAACTATCTCCATGTAATACGGCTGACTACTAAAGATATCACAGCACATGCTCAAAACGGCATATAAGAGCTTGAATGATTAAAACTATGCTTTGGTTCCAGCTCATCAAAGGAAGATAGCTTGCTGATGAAAAACACAATGTTTAATCTTTGTGGACCTCTTTTCTGGGAAAGGCTTGATTTTGATTGCTCCAGGCACTGCTCCCTTAGTGATTGAGGAGACGGAGAGTTTGGAAATAGCCCTGTTCCCAAAGGTGTTCCTTGAGGATTGCAGGAATTACACTGGAGACTCAGCAGAGTATTTGGGCCAAAGTGTTTTCACGACTGTTTGTCTTCATTGCATGCAAATACCCCATCAGTGGGGATCAATGCTGCAGCTATAAAACCCTCATGTCTCTCAGACACAGGGTACTGCTCTTTATCCAGTGGCTTTTGTCTCACACAACTCTGGCCTAGCCCCAGAGGTGATGATAGTACTGAATTCAGTGGGGTGAATAAGGCTCTTATTGAATACCGTGCTTTTCGTCCAAGCATTGCAGAAGCACTTTGTAAGACAGCAAGTATCTTTACCGCCTTTTTAGAGAACAAGCAAAGCATGCAACAAAGAACATTTTCCCAACCTCCCTGAGAGCTCAGTGCCAGGAGCAGAGGAGACCAGGATATACAGAGTCTTCTCTGACAAAACTTGTCTGACTGTGTTGGAAAAGTCCAAACAGGAAAGCAGCAGTGATCCCTTTTTGCTAGGCAGTCCTTACTGATTTAAGCTAGCACCCACAGGATTTATTCTGCCTTGGCTGCAGTTTTCCTGGGACCTATGTGTCAAATGTGGTAGCAAAGCACAGCTCTTTCTCTTTGCCCCCCTGTGGGTGCATTTAGGCAGTAGCAAGAATCCACTGTTACATCTCTAAGCTTTTTCTGGCTCAAAGTTGTACAGTAGAAGAGCAAAAGAAAAAGGAACCCCAGCAACAATCCATAACTTCTTTTTTTCTTGTTGGCTGGAAGACAGGAACTGACCAATCTATTTCTAAACCTGGCATCTAGTCAGATCTTTATTTCCACCTTGGGTCCCTCCAGCTTGCTTCCCAGCCTGTGGACACAAACTGCCGAGGCATTTCCTGTTCAAGGTGGATTTTAAGCGTTAGAGCCAGCCAAGGCAGCCAGCGTGGGTTGCCTGTAGGTGGAAGGAAATTCTTCAGGCACTGCTCCCAGCACATGGAATAATGATTCCAAATTATGCTGGGCTCATTCCCAAAGTGCTGTACCCGGTTCTGAGTGGAAATAGGACCTGATTGGACTCAACTTTGTCAGTGTAATTGAAATAGAAAATCCTTCCATACTCAGACTGGATTTACAAAGCTTTATGAAGCCTATCAGAGTGATTTCTTGGTCATCTTTTTTGTCCTACTGGAACACTCCTGCTGCTATTCTTCAGCTTAGGTTAGCAAGACATTGGGTATCTTTTCTTTGTGTCCAGTGTTCCTTGAAAGAGAAAACTCTGGAAAGCTCAAAGAGGTTCTTCTGGCTCCTGACCATGAACCAAAGAGCTAAAGTATTCAGAAGCTTTAAAATAGCCAGATTTTTATCTATCTTTTTGTGATGCACACAGGGCCAAGTCCCACTCTCAAATATACAGAATCCTAATCTTCACCATCCAGTGGGGAAATATCTGCTTTAGTCAAGGTTATGTGGTCACAATGAAGGGCAGTCACTAGCTCCACGTAAGACTCTCAGTGCTGCAGCTATCTGCCAAAGCTAAAGCCCCGGACAAATACCCTGTGCAAATCCCACCAAGAGAAACAAAAAGGCTGGCTTCCAGAAGGCAGAGTATTTGCAAAACCCAAGGAAACACTGGCTCTCATTGTTCCACTACTGCTTTGCTATGTCAAACATCTTACGTGTAGGCGTAATCCTCTCCCAGCAAGCTGGCTGCAGCATTAGTGGAAATACTAGCAGTAGTGATACGTGCTTCCTACCAAGAAGTGTCACAAATGCCAATACTTTTGACCTGAGAGCAGTGGAATGACGTGATTTGCCCTCTTTTTTCCTCCTAAATCTGGAATGAAAGACAGAGAACAAAAGTGTCTTTCCTGGTGATATGGCCAACTTTGGAGCATCTCAACATAGAAAACCAATGGCACTAGACCTGAAATCCTAAGACACGATCACTATATAGTTTTCAGCAGCATCCTATGTCCCAGTACTGGATATTAATATCTCCTTTTGGCTGCGGAGATGGAGGATTATAAGCAAAAGACATGGAAATCAGAAACCAAGGGTCCTAGTCTGAGGTTTGCTACTAACTCCCTAGCCATGAACAAGTTGCAACACTTCAGTTTGCCTTTCCGCAAAACAGAGTGCAACAAGCTTCATAATATTCTCAGAGTTCCTACCACAGGCTTGATATATCTCTGGAAGCAATTCCATCTTTCAGAGAGCTTTTCTGTCCTAAGACCTTGCAGTGTCTCTGTTCTGAGAAGCTCACTTTGAGAGAACCAGAACATGCACAAGTGAAAACAGTACCTAATACTTCCCAGGCTAAAGGACAGCTGGCACATGCATCTGTTCCAACTACTACAATGAGAATATCAGCATGTGGAAGGGCTGAAAGGGCTTCCATTGATATGGAAGGACAAAAATGATGTGTTAATGAGGTCATCAATAGCAAGAAAGCTTAGGTTTGACAATGCAGGGACCTATAAGCTGTAAAAGTTCACTGAACAAAGGAGGAAGTTTGGGATTTTCTCTTATCCTTTTGTTTTCCCATACAGCATGAATGAACTTGAGAGAGACAGAAGGATTCCCCCATTTATGCGTGGCCATACAGTTCTGAGTGTGCAAAGGATGTTTCAATGTGATGGGTGTTCTTTTGGGCCTTGGACAATTTTCCTTCAACTCTCTGCTCTGCCACAGACTTCCTGTGTCAATTCAAGGCAATAGGACATCAGCATTTCTATGGCTTGGTCTCCCTAGAAGTAGATGGGAGATAAAGGCCTTCATCTATTGCACAGTAATGACAGGAGAAGAAACACCCCTAACATTGGAGAGAAGAGGCAGAAGACCAGACTGACAGATGTATATTGTAGCTGATTGGTTGCATTTTACAAATACCCTTCCAAACTTTAAGTAAGTGATTAGTAACTGGACAACAAATTCATTGACAGACTCTGCCCTGCAACAACTTCACATACAAATCTGACCCATTACCCGTGACTAAAATGGTTTCCAATGGGGAGAAGAGGAGAGGAAGCCTGTTCCCCTCAAAAGAAATGCAGAAGTAGAAATGAGAAGAGGATTAAACAAATTATTTGGCCTGAGAAAATAGAGGCAAGTGGATTAGAGGCTGCAGCTAGCCCATCTCAGAGTGCAGGATCAGGTCTTGGATAGAGCATCAAGTGAAAACCTGCTGCTGCAGGAAATAGTACAGGCAACCTCATGGTCAGGTTATTGAGGGACATCAGTGCTCTGTCCTGCCTCTGCTTCAGCCTGAGCTGGGCGCCTTCCTATCTGTATCTCTGCCATTCTTTCTCTAAAGGCACTGTTCTCTTTCCCACTCCCTCCCAAAGTGTTGTGTGCTCCTGCCAGCTATGTTCAACCCCGTGCCAAGTTCTGTTCAGTTACTCTTCTGTCTATATAAAAGTATTCTTTGGTCCTTTCAGGTTGCACAGGGCCTATAAGTGTCACATACTATCACATCAAACAAACATCATGAAACAAAGCCATGAAAGTAGAGAGAGATTGCAGCAAGAATCAAATCAACAGCCGCTTCCTGGCAACAACAAACCTATCATCTTACAGGTCATTTAGAAAAGGGTCACTTTAACAGAAAACAGAGCTGAGTTTTGAATCAAAAAAATTTTTCTTTTGTCTTTTTACCCAGAAAACTGTGAGCAGGTTTATCCTCAACCACTCTGATCCGTCGGGCACCTGCAGGGATCACAGCTGCTTCGATGTAACCTATGGCAACAAAAGAGCAGATGGATGAGAGCATGCCACAGACAGCCAGAGGCATCCATCATTCAGTATCTCACCATGAAAAAATCAACTCCTGCCCAGGTTGGGGAACGGGTGGGAAACACTTCAAATGAGATCCCTGCAATGGCAGCCAAGTTTCACTGCTGGGACATGCACGGTTATGACTAACATTTCAGCCTGAGAAGAGGGAGAGAAATGCACATGTGCTGCTTAATTGTGACTTAAGGCTTGTGCTTGGGCGTAATTAGATTTGCTCCCTTCAAATCACCCTGGCTCTCCTGCGGTACTGACAGGGATGGATGAGGACTGCTCCTGAGCTGATGCAAAGTGTCACTGTCAGGAGCAACACTGAGCATAACAGAACAGACATCTGTGGTTTCAAATGAAGTTTCCAACAGATGCTCCTGCTTTACCCTCCCAAAAAAACCCTGCTCAAGGCTGTGATCAGTATCAGAAAGGACTCACTTCCACTAAACACCAGGAATTAGTGGGACAACTGGGGGGAAAAATTTGGTTTCGCTTACACTTCACCATTATACAAAAATTCTGGAGGATATAACGGTAACAGTCTCCTTGAATCAGGCTGCTAAACAGAATTCCACAGCTCAGATTTAATGCAACAACCAAGTTGAAAGTTTCTGAAGGACTGACTACCAGTCACCTCTAAATGCTGCCAGCAGATGCACATGCCAAGTTAGACCATCTGAGTATCTGGCATAGTAGGGAAGTTTTTACAGCACCCCATCTTATTTTTATAGAATTCTTTTGTTTTTTATCTTTCGGAAATTCTCTTGGCTTCTTCGTGCTACCTTCAGCAACCAGCAATATAATGCAATTATACCCCTTTTGACTAACAGAAGAACAGTAAGAATAATTAGGGGCTACAAGGAAATGCAGCCTATTTTCCCTCACCATAGAGCCATGTGGAGTTACATACTTGTTCCATGGGGTGGAAGTGGTGCCTTTAAACTATAAAGCTGAGGAACATCAGGGCCCATTTCAAAGGTCTGAGAAGCAGGCAGAGTTTTTCCACTGGCTTCAATGGACCCTGAATCGGGCCCCTGTAAATGACACTGATCTCATCACAACTATGATTTGATTCCTTCTAATTGGCCACCCAGTTTACTGTGCAGTGTATAACTTGGCACCTCTTTTGGGTTTTTGCTCTCCCCTTTGAGATGTTAAGTAGCTTTTCCTGTATGTTCCTTCATCCTTTTTTTTTTTTTTTTTTTTTCCCTTTAAAGGGCTGTGTGAAACTGCTCTGTGTCAGCCCTGCCTTGATGGAAATTGTGGCAGTCTAGAGCAATGGGTTGGAGAAGTGCTGGCATAAGGAGCAGTGACTCCTCCAGCATTCAGCAATGTTTGGGGAGATATTTTAGGGACAAATGCAGCTGAATGGCCGTGCTTCTGCTGCACTGATACAGGAGGCCTCAAAGGAGGATGCCGACAGCCTCGTACATCTCAGGACTAAGTGATTCTGTTACCATTATGACGTGAAGTGAGACAGACAGGAATTTTGGGTCTCGGATTATGGATTCATTTCTACCTGTCTGAACCAGCAGTGCCTAGCCCCTTTGTCGCGCTATGAATACAGCTTGAGATCTTGTGTTTCATGAGGTGCATTGGGTGGATAGCTGAGCAGGGCTCAACACA